AAATCCCAAAGCATTTACATGAGATTTCTGACACTGCGAAAATAAAAACAAGTCTACCAACACCACAACAATTACATACTATTATAGGGCTGGGCTTATTTAGATTGTGGAAGTTTAATTATAAAAATTGCATTTTAATTGATTGCTGCTGGAGTAATTACAGCAACACCTTTCCAAGAAATGGCGACCATCCAGTGTTTGTCAACACAGAAGCTTCCTTTAGATTCAACACGCAATAATTGTTTAATTAAGCCAAATTTAGATCGTCGTTTCAGAACATTCAAATGTTTGCCTATTCCTTCCTGTCTCTGAGAGGTAATTTAAGAGATAAAAAGCAATCTCTAGAAATACTCTATCTATATACATAACTATCCAAGAAGAAGAAGGAAAAAGAAATACTTCATTTTATAGCTGATCTGGATATAAGCTTGCTGCTATTGATAAGAACATGAGCACAGAGTGAGTGATCGCTACAAATCCCTCTCTAATTGGTGCTGGGAGGCCTTCATAAAATATGAACAGACTCCAAACTACATGTTCATTTTCTAATATGCAGAACAGATTCAGCTGTTGATATTCTAGCAGCACCCACAACCCGTACTCAGTATGAGGACCCCACAGTAACTGTAGCTGTGCATACATGGAAGGAGAGGGATAAATAATTAATTGTTTTTCAGCCTCCTTACAAGTCTTCTTGCAGCTGCAAATTACTTCTGTGTTTCAGGTGTGCAGCTCCTGAACGTCCCTTCTCAGTAACCCAACACCTAAGCACACACACAAGCTGATCGCTGCCCCAGCTAAGCTATAGGGCTCAGCGCTGGACAGAGGATTTTTTAGTCGCTAGCCATCCCTGCAAAGTGGCCTGACTTTTGCAGGGACAGATTTCCCAAGCTGGTGACTCATCTTCTGCGAGCACTGCTCAACAGGGCACGTCCCCCAGGTCACTGCCAGGGAAATCTGTTGCTGAGCCATCGTCTTCCCCGGGCAGCGAGAGCAACCACCACTGTCTGCCTGAGGCTGCTGGGGCTCGCCTGGGGACTCCGGCCAGAGGCCAAAAGCAGGAGTCTCTGCATCACAAATTAAATAAAGCTAAGAGCTGGGGCTGAAGCAACTCATATCCCCCGAGGAGCTGGGCTCTGCACAGGGTGGGGATGTGCATTACGTGTGCCCAAATGGAGGCTGAGACAAAGAATAAAAGAAAACTATTCCCAGCACTGGTTGTCTCAAGTAAGCAGCCTCTCATCCCTTTGCTGCCAACAGGACACGGTGCTCGTGGACCTCCCAGGGACAGGAATTTGCAGCTCTCTCCTAAGCTTCAGCCCTCCTGGGCCCTCGCATCTGGCACAGAGCACCCCTCTTCCCGCACCTCTCAGCTCTGACCTGCAGCATCCCCTGCCATGTTAGGTCTGTCCTGAGCGCACTCAGCCACGGCAAAACCCAGCAAGGCAGAGCGTGCTAGTGACTGCGTTGAGGTCATAAAGCTCTTTTCCAAACATGGCTGAAGACAGAACCTGTGAACGTGTCTTTAAAGCTGAGCAGAAGGGTTTGCTCTGCTACGTCACTAGGCAAAGCTTTCAGCTGCGCCACACCATCATTTTACCCTTCATAGTTATCTGGCACTGCTATATACTTCTGCTGAAAGAAGGACTCTAAATTCACCTTCCCTCTAAACAATTGCCTTGGCCTTCGAACAAATGGTACAAAAATATAAAGTCTCCTAACCTTTAGTTAAGAACCCTCAAAGCGGCAGGTGTGTATTTTCATATCAGTAAGCCACACCACGCACCCCCCTGCAAACACAGAGCCTGTTCATTACCAAATATTCTGTGGGATGGAATGAGTCCAGGAAGATATTTCAGTTATTGAAATGTGCCCATGTTTCAGTGATGCAACATTAGCATCAACCACACACATGAAATGTGAGGTTACCGCATGTTGTATCTACTAGCTATTTTCGCTTTCTTAATGATTACGGTTTGCTTAAAATCATAAGCTACTGACGTGTTATGCACAGGGACCACAGGACCCGTAGGTGCACGCTGCCCCACACAGAGGTATTCACAATCGCTGTGTAACGATAAAAAGTCCATAACTGGAAGGATCAGAAATACAAGTTATTGCTGGGCTGTCACAGCAACAGCCCAGAGACAACAGCAGCCTCCTGGTATTTTACAGATTTATCACTTTCATGGATATTATTGTTACCAATTTACGATCATCACTAGCACATCATTAACGGCTCCCTATCACCATCACCTGTGCACAAATGGGTACATCTCATACCGTAAATTCACCCACTGTCACACCAAAGCTTGCTCATCCTAACTGGTAAGCAGATATATGTCAGGCAGAGGTAGACAGTGTCACAGTTGATGCTGAGATACATTTTGCATATGATCTCCTTAGACAAGGTGCTGTCATTTTGCTGCAGTTCATCCTGCCACTTCAGCATCGCCCCGCAAGCTGCCCAACAAGGTTTTTTGTTTCTGCCATCACCACTGATTCTTAATATATATTCTGTATTTCGAGTGATGCTGCTTCAGGCACTTGCTATAAGGACTACATTTAGCACATGAGGCTGGATCCTAGCAAAAGGCAGGGCTTGCCATGGGGCTAGGACCTACTAGTCTTCCTCAGATGTTCTGCTGGAGACCCTGCTAGGAGCAGCACCAGGTTTACAGGGTCCAAACACCCTTGACTTAACCATCAGAGAAACAGGTAATGCCAATGACAAGGAAACGCTGTGTTCTCTATCTCCATGGGAACAAAACCTGGTACTTTTAACTGGTAGCATGGCCAGTCTTTTCTCAGAAGATAAGGACCACTGCGTGGGCAGGGTTTTTATTCTCTGTAAATAAACAGATCTTTCTGCTAGATATCTAGTCTTGGCAACCGGGCAGGGAATTTGCTGGAAGATGAGGAAGGAGATAATTCCTGACAAAAGTTTCACTCAAGCCCTAGGGTACTAAAACCAGGTCTCCTAACGGCCTGTTTTTTTGGGGTTGGTTTTTTTCCCCCCCTAGCGTACATGGAATAACACCTTCTTTTGCGCTTACAAAACAAATGCTGCCTTCTATAGCCTGGAAGAATTTAGGAAGTTTTTAATTATAAGAAAAGAAAAATGAGGACAAGTGAAGTTGGACTGTGCGGAGTGCTCTGCTGGTCTGATCTAGGACAATGTGCCCTACATAGAGCTCAAATATAACATCCTTTGGGAAGCTGTCTTGCTTCCATTCAGCTTTTGTGAGACCACCCCCGCCCCTGTGGTACTAATGACAGATTTCTGAAGCATAACTAGTATCACGGTCTTGCTATCAACGTTAATGCTGTAAACAAAATCATTAGTGGCAGGCACAGAGAGGGAGGGAAAACTATGCGCAGATGGAGAATTTCTTCTAGTGATATTCTTGCAGTTTCTGCTTTCTTCCTGCTATCAGCACTGAAATAGCTCATCCCCAGCCACAGTCAGCAACTCTACCCCAGGTGGGTGATGCTTTCCCTGAAAAGATGGACAAGCTCTGTCTTTTTTCTTCTGTTTGACTAGTTTTCCTGCCAAGGAAGTGCCATCGGATTGAGCTGAAATAGTTGCTCTTCCTTGATGGAAACCTTGTAGTTGGCAAATAGAGGGATATTAAGGAAAATAGAAAATCTTTAGATGTGTCATTAGACACTCCAATGAAAGTGTCGCCAAATTGTTACTTCTCTCTCCTATGTCATACTGGCCAGGAAATTCCTGCAATCTTGTATTTGCAAACCCTTCAACAGAAAAAATCACTACTTTTTTTTTTTTTTTTTTTTTCCTTCAAAGAGCCTTATAATTCTCCTCCTGTACATTCCTGGTTCTTTTTGCAGGAAAGCATTTTTCCCTTCTGTGTATTTCTTAGCAGAGAGAACAGTTTGTGTCCACCTCTATCCCACTCTTCACATGACTAACCTGCAGAGAGGATGTTTCAGTGAATCAAAAGGATACTACAGACATAAGCCAACAATAATCCAACAGGCTCTACAAAGGGAAAGGCTCCTCTAGTCCCTCCTGGTAGTCCTCATACACACACACAGGCTCAGAGAGTGAAAGCAGCGTCTGACACCAGGCTGAACCGAGAAATTCTTTGTGCATCGCATCCCAGCGGCATGAGCACCTCGTGCACAGCACCGCGCTGCTCGCTCCAAGGGAAGCAAATGCTGCAACAGCCCCTAATACAACCACAGGGCTGTGTTATGGTTGTTGTTTTCCTCTGGTTTCCTCCTGGTCTTATTTGTTGCTGCTAATCTTGGCATTACCTAGCAAGCCATTTTTTTTTTCTTTTCCCCAACTATATCATATAACAAGAACAGCACCGCTAACGTGCTGTGCTTTAGCAGGATGCAGATACACCCTAGGATCAACTCTGCGGTGCAAATTCAGTCTTTAATACTTGTTTTTAGAGCCAATGATTTTGCTGGTTCTTGAAACTAGAACTCCCTTACCTCTCTGTCATTATTAGGCATGCCCCCTTACTGTGGATCTGGACTCCATTTGCACCAAGTTGCTGTTTTCTGCTGGGTCTTTCTTAAATTACAAGGGCAGACGGCTAAACTGGGGTTGAAGAAGTTGTTCACAGTAAACAGAGACTTCTGTGCACCCTGTGGGTGGAAAGGGGTGTCTTTGTTGTACATCACGGCTATAGGAAATATGGGAATGAAACCTCAACGTAATGAGCTGGGCAGAGGTTAGAGAAACAAGAGGAAATAAATTGGTGGGGGTTTTATACGACTTTGGAAGCAATGAAAGAGAAAATGCAAGACATGCTGAATAACTGCACACTACCTCACCCCTATGTCTTAGCACAAACCAAAATGATTCTGAAATCCTTTGCCCATGTGTTTGGGGTTTTTTTGCATGGACCCTAAAGGAAGTTGCACGTTTGGAGCAAGATGTCCCATATTTCAGACACAAAAAAACCCCAATCAGGAATAAAGAAACCAAAGTAAGAGAAAGCACGGCAAATGCCGCTACTTACAGGTATATGTCATTTCAAAGCTGTCGCTAATGTTCACAATGTCAATCTGGGGAAGGAGCTTAGGGGGTTCCGTGAGCTGAGACAACGCAAACCTAAAAGCCGCATGTTCCTGGGACTGTTGATTAGGAAATAACCCCCCTGGGGAGAAAAACAGAACAAGAAGAAGAAAGGTCTTAGGCACACCTGTATTAGCAACCTCTTCAGTCCAAAATGTTCCTGCGAACAGAGGCTACAGCTCCCCAGCCCAGGGAATGCCTCTACACTCAGAAACCCTCCAGCACGCAAGACCTGGGGGGTTTGGTGCCCACTGCACACAGGCTGAGAGGAAAAAGCCTTTCCAGCCCATGCATTATGTAATGCCTGGATCATATATAGGAGCCCTGATGCATCCCTGGGGTCGGGATGAACCACAGGGTTTGGCTCAACCTCCTCATCCCCCATAACTTTAAGGAAGAGAAATGGAAACACTCTCAATGTTACTTTTATAAAGGAGAAATAAGAGTCTGTCTTCCTCCTCCCCTCACTTGTAATTAGGCTCAGTTTCAACCCTGTTAAGAGGAGGGATTTGCCCCAAAAGGGGTGCAGGGGTTCCCCCACACTATGGGGCAGACTGGCTGAGCCTGGCCCGACAGGCGCAGCACTGGGTGGATGGGGACAGGGCTGCGATGGGGACCCATGGCCAAACAACTACTGCTACTGGAAGTTTGCTGCATGGAAAAACCCTAAATTTAACAGGTGATAGCGGCCAAACTCAAAGAGGGCAGGAAATCAAAAGCTTGACCCTCAAAGGGATCGACCTGAGCAGAAGTACAGACAAGCCCAGAACCATGGGACGATATAAATAGGATAGGAACTGGGACCCGGCTGGACCCAGGCTCAGAGTCTTTCTCCCCCCATGGACCTGGAACAAAGTGCTGTGATAACCCGGCCCTAGGAAAAGTTTCCTGCTGCTCCCCCAGCAGGAAACTTGGCTTGCAGCAAGCCAAGGCTCACAGCCTCCAGAAAGATGCTATTAAATTCAGACTGTCTTGTAATCTTTATGCATTTAAAGGGAGCACTGTTATTGGCATTTTACGAGTAGGGAAACAAAGCACTTAGCAACAAGGTAGAATTAAAATAAAGAAGCAGAAAATATCAATGCCCACCCTCCAGGGCAGATGGCTTTGGGAAGAAACAAATGTCAAGGACCTGCTATCAACGGCACTTTGCCCCTTTAGTACTGAGAGCATCTCCCTGTTGTGTGGAAAGGGCTATTTGTGCACGAATATCCCCCCCCTTCCCCCGTTCCTCCCACCCCCCAGCCTAATCATGGGTGTCAGAGGAATGAGATGCTAGTAGCCGAGCTATTACATGTGTTTGTCGAAAGGGAAAAAATCTAGGATGTTGCACAAATTTGGGGTAAAGGGGAGGCAGGAAGGGAGGGAGACAGGGATGCAGCATCAACAGCGATAAAAGCACCGATTGTGCAGCTGGACTCAGGCAGGAGTTGCCTGAACTTGGTGGATTAGCAATTGATGGGCATTGTAAAGAGAAGGGAGGCGGCAAAGAAAACCGACATGCAAGGGAAGAGAATTTGGGGCTAGGTTACAAACCATCATCAATAAAGATCAATGGGAGAGTAATAATAAACCTGGGGAGGTAGGGAGGGAGAAGGAGCATTGAGAAGTTACATGAAGGGAGAAAGGAATCAAACAGGCACTGCTGGTGCACAGGGGAAGCAAGTAGCAAGAAATGAAAAGAGACTTCAATGCAAAATCTTCCTCCAATAGCTCTGCCCTTATTCTTCAGCAACAACAACAGAGAGCGCCTGTTTGTTACCTCTCGTCCCAGTTACCTACAGATGAGAGCATCCTCACAAAAACGTATAATGCAACCGCTGATTTTGCAAATGCAGCAATGCACAATGGCAGCCCAGGCATTTCTCAGAGCAAGAAACAGATATTTTTTTCGTGCTTCCTCCATTTCAGAGGCACTTTTCTCCCTCTGTGTTGGTGTGTGTGCAGGCATTTATTCCCAATCTTCCCCTCCCCCAAAGCCAAATCGATACATCTCTGCTCTTGCAAAGCTGGTACCAACACACAAATCCAGCCCTCGCAGTTCACCCCTTCGCTCTCTCTCACACACATACACACACACGCACATTTTGCCTTTGCAAGCAAAGGGGTCAGTTTTCCCCCACCGCCCCCTCTCCACCCCTACCCACTTGCCAGGGAACATCACTCCCAAACGGCCCCGAGCTCTGCACTCACCTATCTGGATATTGTTGGGGAAATTGGCCCCTAACACCGCCCCTAGGAAACTGGTGCAGAAGAAGGCAAAAATGTGCTGCATATTCCCTTTTGCATTGGCGAAAAAGAAGCCCAGTTCCAAGCATAGATTTGATTTTTCCCCCGCTCTGCTCTCTTTAGCTGCCTCTCTCGCCTCCCCTCCGCTGCGCCTTCAGGGTTGCGCGTCTCCCTCGCTCGGAATCCAGCGCTGAGACTGCTGCTTAACACCGCCTGGCAGCAGGATTAACTGAGCCCCGTGAGAAAGAAAGAGAGCCCGCTCCTCATCCACATCCCTCCCCCGCCACACACAACACGCACACGCACGCACCAGACGCTTCCCACCCAGCTCATTCGCCTTCTCCCAGTTGAAGCTCAACAGCTGGGTACCGCGTCCCCCCCTCGCCCCGGCTATTCCCCCCCAGGGGTCCTGGCTGGGGTCTCTAAGGGTAATTCCTACCTACCCCTAAATTCCTGGCTTTCCCCCTCAACTTCTCTTGGCAGGAGCTAGAAGGAACCTGCAAATCAGTAGGTGGCAAACTCCTCTAGAGAAAGAGCTTAAACTCCTCTGCCTCTGCTCCATCGCTTCCCAACCTGGGCTCTCCCCCCTGGGTCCAGGAGTTGAACAGATCAGCCTCTACAGCCCGGCTCGTTAGGATAACAAAGAAGGTTGTATCCTGCAAACGTGCCTTGGAAGGAAGGATTTCGGAACAACAGACAACAGAGATCCCAAAGGAGGAAAAAATGAACCCCCCACCATCACCTTTCTCATTGATTTTTCCTGCCCACGGTTAACCTATGAGGTATTCCACCCCTGTGCTTGATGAGGAGGAATCTGTGCTCACCAGCACCATCAGATAGGGCAGACTTCTGAAATTAGGGGGCTATTTTAGCCTGGATCATTACAGGAGCTGTTTTGTGGCAGTTCTGATGAGGTTGAAGCTTATTTGACCATAAGCAGCTTTGCTCAAAAACAAAAGGGGGAAAAAAAAAACACCAATAAAAGTAACAACGATAAAAACCGTCTCCTAGGCACAACTTGGGATTTAGAAATATTTGAGGAAGAACTGCTGTGAACACAGAGCCATAGCCATTTCGGAAAAGAGAGAAAATTCACCCATTCCCCTCTGAAACACATAAAGTCCCTAACCAAACTTGGGGCCTCTTGTGCCTGAATAGCCATATCCAAGCACAGAGATTCTGCCCTTACCGTTTGCAGCCTGGATACACACAAGGGGTAAATAGCAGAGAGGAAACAGAAAGAAAAAAGGATGTTTGGGGCAGAGTTAGAAATAGGACTCGGATGCCCTGTGTCCTGATTTGGTGTAGGGTGCCTTGCCCTGGTCCCCACTCCCGATCTCCAAAAGCATGTGGTTAAACTGGAAGAGCATTAGAGAGTGGTGACCAACGTTCAAAGGTCGGGAATTGCTTCCACATAAGGAAACAGTTGGACAGAGGAGAACTCTGCAGAGTGGGATAACCCAAATGGGATGTGACCAAAGCCTACAAAATCTGCAGTAGCACAAAGACATTCCCTGTTGGCCACAGGGCCCAGGTGTGACATAAATTTATGGTGCAGGGACAACACTACTCTTTATATACTCAAGACTTCTATGAACAGAATAGTCTTGAAAACAGAGGTAGTAACACCTTTTTGTTGGCAGGTCCTCTACTTCCTCTAAAAGAGGTTTACTACAGGTTTGTTTCCCCATACAGCCCTTCCTGTCAGCTGTGACAGAGTCCTTGGGTAGAGCAGCATCATATGTGGTCATGCACTATCTCCACAGCCAAACGCGATAATGAGTGGAAAATCACCTCTCATGTGGCTATGGGCACAGGCTCTGGGTAAATGAGAATGGACCATGATCCTTGCGCAGACCTCCATTTCATCTCGGCAAATAAGAGTTTGAGATCTTTAACCTCTTCCTAGCCAGTTTTATGGATTTCACTGTGACAAAATGCTTAAACACCCCATAAATGCCAGAGTATGTATAGGGTCTCAGCACGTTACTCTGATACCTTGCATCAGAGAGGAGTTGCACTGATGCCTGCAACTTTGTGGCCTCTTACAAGGACAGTATGTACAGTTACGCTGCAAAAAATAGAACCCAGAAGACTTCCATCTTCCTTATGGCAAGCAATAAAACATCTTTCTAGGATGGATTCCTTTTTTCCCCAAGCCACGCTTGACCAGGGCAATGACTCTCTGTGCCACAGACTGCAGGTTCGTTACAGTAATTGTTCAGGCATTCAGGAATCAGTTACAGGCAGCCAAAGGATGTTCTTACCCTGTGTCGCTGCCTGGGTGACCGGCATCCCAGAGTCATATTCAAGCACAACAAATTTATCTGTTGTTGATAGGTAGCACCTTCATCAGACTTCCATCTCGCTCCTTGTATAATTTAAGCAATACTGATTTGAGGCTAAAATAACCTGCTGATAGGTTTTATGGGCTTTTGCTTTGCATCCAGAATTTAATAGAAACAGCTGCATTTATAATCTGAAGAAAGGCACTGAAGGATAACCAGCACAACAGAAAGATGCTAGCATATTTTCAAAACTCCCAAACAGCCTATCTGATAATAATAACAGTAGCCATAACAATAAAATACCGTAATAGCCCACAGAAAGCTTGCACAGTTGCATTAATTAATAATGCTGCCTTTGTCTATAAACCTCTCAAAGTGCAGGTGGCTTAACAAGGAGAACCTCACCACAGTGTAACAAGATAAGTAGTAATAAGATCATTATTTTAAGAAGGTATTCATTTCCTTTTTCCCTATAGGTAACAGCATTTTATTCAGGGTTTGTTACCACAGAGATGTTAGGAATTAACTCTAGCTGTTCTGAAGATTCTTTAAATCAACATAAAAGCAATGTAGCTTCTGAACTCTTGGCTAAACACCAAAAGAAGTCTTTGGAAATGGATGAAACTCTTCGATGTCACAACAGAAAGATGGATCAATCCACCAGTCTTCTGAGAAAAGAGCCCAATTGAATTATCTAGATTCCTAAAAACAATTGAAGGAGCGTATTCCTCCTTTCAGATTTCAGAAAACAAAGAAAATCATTCAATGCAGCATATAAGTATATTGCACAGTGCATCTTAATCAGGGGCAACTAAAAATATCAGTGTGGAGTTTTGAAGACCTGTATTTTGTCTCAAAAGGTTCTTAAGACATAGGTGGGACAGGCAGGTATCTGGTGGTTAACAGAAAACATCCAACAAGGCCTTGTGGGATTAATCATGCAATTGAGTGTAAAGAATTGGGTAAATACATGTCTAAAAAAAAAAAAAAAAGGCTGTCCAATTTAAAGTAAGAAATGCCATAAAGGAATTTTAAAAGAGTGTAGCTGGTCCACTTAAGATCTTTGCCAGAGATGAGAATAAGAAAATGAGTATATCAGAGCTACTCTTCCCGTCGTGCTCTGCCTGGAGCTGACCTTGCTGTACTGGGTGAGAACCTTTGTTCTCACCCATTTCTGCTCCAAGCTTTTGCACACCAGAGAATTTTGTCTCTGAGGCGGCTGTCTGCCGCCTTCCTCTTTGCTCTGCTTTGCATGACATGAAGTTGTCCACACAAGCAGAACGGTCTGCCTTCACTATCAGAGCTTTTGTTTCCAGGATAGGAAATAAGCGGTTGTTGCAGCAGATACATTTCTGTACCAGAAGCCTTGGAAAAACAAAGGACTTATTCACATGCAGAAGCCTCCAGCCTTGAAAAATGAGGAAATCAGCAGAACTCGGCATCCGTCCGACCTCCCAGCAGAATTATTTCCCCCAGTGCCCACTGTGTTTTACATGATGCTCCTGAACGTCTTTAAAGAGGCTATTGAAATACTACTATTTCTGAAATTCCTTTTATATTCTAGCTGGACAATCTCTATAGAAGGCTTTTGATAAAGAACAAAATGTAGTTACAGTGATTAATTTAAATAAACTCCAAACAACACAGACTCTCACATGGGTTTCGCAGAGCCTTGGCATAAGTGCTAACGGAGTCGCACGCGTTTCTCTCCCTGCCTTGTTCACCTCAATTTTGTTATGTTGGATAATGCACCTCTCAAGGAATGATCGTAGCAGAGGTGCTGAGAGAACAGACTGCAGAAATTTGAAATGGGGAAAATTTGGAAGTGATCAAAAAGGAAAAGGGGCGAGACAGCTCCCTCCATTCACAGCACCGACGTACCGGGAAGCGTGTGTGCAGATAGCCCTCGGCGCACCTACACCCAGCAAACATATGCACAGTCACTGGTGCCACCCACACGAAAATGACACTGATAGACACGGTTAGGAAAGCGTACATGTGCTGTACGTGCATATACATACACACACACTCGCAGGATCACCCAGGCAGGGGCGGGCGGCGCAGCTCAAGGCTGTCTGCTGGCATATGGAGCTGCTGCGGAGGGGCAGGAGCAGCTCTGCAGCCCGTTGCACTCCCATCGTATTTTCTGAAGCAGGTTTTATCCTGTACAGGGATCTTGGACCTGCAGCCACACCCTTCACTCATCCTTATTCAGAAAATTCCTACTGAAGTAGAAACAGGGGCACTTCAGTCTCTTTATGGCCATTTCCATGTGTGCCTACATAGTTTATTTTACATGAGACACTGGCTTCGATCTTTTAAACCTGGAAGGTATTACTTACACCACTGAAAAACAGCATCTACAAACTGTAGTCGCCAAATCATTTTTGGTAGGATCTCCTTTACAAAAACAGCCTCAGCAACATTTGGTATCAGGCAGAAAAAATCTCCCCCCATCAATGAATCGGGCCTGAGGTGTCTATGGCCCCTCTCTTCTTTGCACGGCAGCTGGAGTTGTCAGATGAAAAGCTTTGACATCCCATAAGCAACTCGGAGAAGTTAAAAGAAACATGAGATTTGTACCTTTCCAGTGTGGCTAAAATGCAAAGATGTGGGACAGGGGCAACACCCGAGATGAGAATAGCTCCAAGCAGGTCCTGACTGACACCAAACATCTGGGGGCTGATGTTTTAAGGTCACCAGATATTGTTTCTTAATTTACTGACTGCTGAGGCGGGGAAGCCTGATGTGAACTGAAACTGGGGAAAGTTGGCTTTTTCCACAAACTGTACAAGAATGTGCTTCTGTTGTAATCCTGATCGGCTTATTACCATATTCATAAGAAACGACTTCTTGCTCACTGTGGGATAATTAAGTAAGTAAATGGGCTGGAAGATAAACCCGTCAATCAGAGTGGCAGTGAAAAC